TTATAAGCAGTCAGATATAACCTAGTGCAAAAAGAAGAAAGTTTATAGGATCCAATCTTTAATTTCCTAGTGCCAAATGTGAGGTTCAAATGAGAAGGGTGGCAGAGAGCACTAAAGCCTGTTATGGGCCCTCCCTGGTGGCGCAACAGATTAGGACGCAGCACTGCAAGCATGCTTCAGCATGAGTTCAATCCCCACCCTGGAGGTGACCCACATGGTGCAGCAGACCTCTCCTGATCCCCCACTGCTCCCCTCAGTAGTGTACTTCATCAATCTGCCTGTTTTGCTCCCCACTGTCTCTGGCAAAGCCTCTCACCGCCCCTGCACCTCTGGCTTGTACCCCAGTTCTGTATGCATCAATAAATAAATCTTGAAAAAGAATAGAAGTTGTAGGCTGCAGAAGGATATGCTTTGACTTTGATGACACCACTGGACATAGCCCAATGGAAAGGAGAGGAACACAGCAGGCAGCAGGAACATTGTATCAAAAACTTGGAGGCAAGATGAATGTGAGGGGATTAGTCAATGGTAATTAGTTCATTTCTGCTTGGCTGGAGAAGGAATTTGACATGGTAGCCTAGTAGAGGCAAGACAATCAGATTGGCAAGGGCCTTATGTAAAGCTAGTTCATTTAGTACTATCATAGGAGCAATGGGGAAGAAGTCCAGTTTTGAGGGCAAAACTCCACCTTTTTTTGTTAGTCCATTTATACTTATCAGATCATGTGACAGCTTTGGGACTGAGAAAAAGTTCAGAGTATGGCAGTGAGGAATCCCTGAAGGTATTTTTTTTAATACTTTTTCTTTAAGATTTATTTATGCTTATAAAACTGGGGTACAGGCCAGAGGTACAGGGGCAGTGAGAGGATTCACCAGAAACAGAGTGGGGAGCAGGAAAGGCAGATTGAGGAAATAAACTGCTGAAAGGAGCAGCGGACAAGACAGAAGAGTTCTGCTGTGCCATGTGGATCACCTCTAGGGCCGGGAATGGAACTCGCCCTGAAGCGGCTGTGGCCAGCTTGCAGTGCTTAGCTTTAACCTGTTGCGCCACCAGGGAGGGCCCCCTGAAGGTTTTTCAGGGTAATGTGATGTGAGGTTCTAAAAGCCTGGAGAGAGTAGAGCTGGAGAGGATGGAGACAAGAAGTAGTGAAATGTTTATTAGGACCCAAAAGTCCTAATGTTATAGGTCAGGGAGAGGGGGCACCACTGAACCCCCAAACCTGCCTGATCCAAATAGCTTTGGCCATCCACCGCATCAAGGCAAAACAGATAAGACTTTAATGAAAAGAAACTTTAATACAGTGAGTATACAATACGAAAGACAAAGAATATAATTTCTAAATCAAACACCTGAAGTTACCCATCCCCTCATGTGCAAAAGTCCATCTAAAAGGGATTGGCCCAAAGCAAGGCCTGAAAGCTGTCACAAGACTAAAGCACCTTCTGGCCAGGACCCATGGAAAAGGATCAGAAATGGCCAGTCCGGGAGGAAAAGAGCAAAATCAAAAACAATATAAATGCTGCCATAGTCAACCTCCTCACGGGTCTCTCACCCACACCCATTTCAATCAGTCCAGGGACAAGAAACAAGCACGGTTTCTTCATCACATGCTCCCTGCGGCTTCCTCAGGTCTTCTTCTGGCTCTCCAGCCTGCTTCCTTCTTCTCCTAGATTTCTTCTCTCTTTTTCTCTCCTCAGCTTCACCCTCCTTCTGGGTGGGGCAGAAACCTGGAACTTCCCCTTTTCCTAGGGACCACCCTGTTACACTAATGTGGTAGTAGCCATAGAAATTGGAAAACTGGTGAACGTAAGATGTTTGAAATGACTGGTCAGATATGGGGAGGAGAAGCTGAAGGTAATCCCCAATACCTAGCTGATGACCAACACAGGAACATGGGGCTGGTTGAGGCATAAATAAGATGATGCTGATTTGACAACTTTTGGGGTTACAGAACAAAATCTGTTACAACAGGGAGAGAGGGGAACCCCTGAAGCCCCATATCTGCCTGTTCTCAGTGAAAGGAGAAGTTCCAGGTTCCCTGCTCCGCCCTCCTTCTGGGTGGGGCAGGGAACCTGGAACTTCTCCTTTTCCTAGGGACCACCCTGTTACAGCAGGATCTCAGGAGAGACAAGGGTTGATGGTTCAGAACTGGTAGTGGATCTGTAATGAGAAGTGAGAAGTCAAGCTTGGTGACCAAGACAATCCCTTAGTAGGAGCTGACTCACTCTGATCAGACCATTCTTTTTGACTCCCCTATACCTGCAACCAGATCCCTAACCAATGGTGAGGTCCTGGGTGAAAGATTCAGTAGGGACAAATTTCCCCAGGTGCTTTCGTCCTAGACTGGCCCCTACAGACCAGAAGCTGCTTTAGAATCTACCATCTATCTACTCATGGACCTCCCATCAAGGACTATGAAGGCATAACTCCAAGATGAGGAGGTTCTAATCCGATATCTGCCCCAGAGCAGCTCATGTGCCCTTGAACAAGTCACCTTTCCTCTTTAGATTTGTGTCCCCTTCAGCAAAATGCTAAAGTTGGTCTTTATCTAGATGTTGGTATTTAAGTCCTACCTCTGAAAAGAACACCTGGTGTTCCATAGCAGGGCCAACATATCCTTTTTTCTAAATCAAGTAGTAGCAGGCTGTGAATAACTCCAATTTAACTTCTTCATAACTTAAAAAAGAATTACCACAGGCCCTCCCCGTTGGTGCAGCGGGTTGGAGCACAGCACTGAGAAGCTAAGCCAAGCCATTGGGGCCTCCATGCAAATTCAATCCCCCCCAGAGGTGACCCATATGGGGCAGCAGACCTCTCCTGTTCGCCCGCTGCTCCCTTCAGCAGTGTACTTTGTCGATCTGCCTGTTCTGCTCCCCACTCTGTCTCTTGCGAATCCTCTCACTGCCCCTGCACCTCTGGCCTGTACCTCATTTCTGTTCGCATAAATAATAAATCTTTAAAAAAAATTACCAGCCACTATTGTTTGCCAGCAACACGCACAGACAACGCAATGAATGAACACTTGGGAAATGCAATGAAGGGGGAAATGTGAAAGCAGATGACCATATTCGGGTTGACAGTCTTTTTGTTTCTGGAGACTTTATGGTTTTGGCTGCGCAGTCAGTCTGGTTTCTAAAGCTAAGTTCCAATGGTGTTTCAGTCTCCTTCATCAAGGGCTCCAGGACACCCTGTGCCTGTAAGCTGAAGACGGCAGAACACCAGACTCACTGCTTCCCTGTGACCTTCTAGGGCTGCCCTTGCATTTTCTCAGTGATGACTTCATAGCTCCTCAAAGCCAATCTTTGACCAACACCCTCTGCACACAAAGCACTGTAGCTTAAATCCATTACCTCCTACTGTCCCCATATTATCTTCTCAATAGCTTCAGGAAATAAGTGCCAGTATACATATGACAGATGAGGGAACTGAGTTTCAAAGAAAATGGCTTTCCCAAGTCCACACCACTCGTGAGTGACAAAGTCCAGACTGAACGTCACAGTCTCATTCCAGAACTTGCACTCTGCCCTAACATTCCTGAACCTTCTATCATTAGTGCTATCACCCCAAATTTTCAGTTTTCTTGGACGCATGTTCCCTGCTAATGTTGGCCAGTGGTGGGCATTGTTTCTGGTACAATTTATAAGAGCCAGTCATCACTGCCATACACATCCCCTTTTCCTTCTCTAGCAGTTGTGGAAACACAAAGACGAGCCCTCATGCTGGGTGCCTGAGAGAGGCGAAAGTGGTATAGATGGCCGCCCCGTGATGAGTATGTAGGATTGTAACAGAGTGGTCCCTAGGAGAAGGGAAGTTCCAGGTTCCCTGCCCCACCCAGAAGGAGGGTGGAGCTGAGCAGAGAAAAAGGAGAGAGAAGAAGAGAGGAGGCGGCCAGATGGAGAAGGAGGAGACCTGAGGAAGCCACACGGAGCAGCAAGCATGTGATGAAGAAACCGGGCTTGTTTCCTGACCCTGGACTGGTTAAGGCAGATGTGGGTGAGATACCTGTAGGGAGGTGACTATGGCAGTGTTTATATTGATTTTGATGTTGCTCTTTTGCTTTCAGATTTGTCTGGCCATTTCTGACCCTTTTCCATGGGTCGCGGCCAGAAGGTGCTTTAGTCTTATGGCAGCTTTCAGGCCTTGCTTTGGGCCAATCCCTTTTGGGTAGACTTTTGCCCACGAGGGGATGGGTAACTTCAGGTGTTTGATTTAGAAGTTACATTCTTTGTGTTCCATATTGTATATTCACTGTATTAAAGTCACTTTTCATTAAAGCTTTATATGTTTTGTCTTGTTGCGGCAGATGGCAGAACCCACTTAGAGCAGGCAGGTTTTGGGGCCTCAGGGGTGCCTCTCTCTGAATTGAGGTGCCCTATAACAGTATGAATAAGAAATCATCATCAGGGCCCTCCCTGGTGGCTTGGGGGTTAAGACGCAGCACTATGAAACTCTCCACAGCCACTGGAGCCCACGTTCCATCCCTGGCCAGGGAGGGAGGTGACGCACATGGCGCTGCAGACCTCTCCTGATCCACCCGCTGCTCCCCTCAACTGTGTATTTCAGTAGATCTGCCTGTTCTGCTCCCCACTCTGTGTCTGGTGAATCCTCTCTCTCCCTTCATATCTGGCCTGCATCCCAGCTCTTGTATGCATAAATAAATAGATCTTTTAAAAAAATCATTTCTAAGCTGCTGAGATTTGAACATTGTCTACACTGGGGCATAGCCTCGTCTGTCCCGGCTAATCTAATGTTACACTTTCTCCTGTTGATTACCCTCACAGCAGTCCTCAAATCTGCCCTCTCCTTGAAATTTCCGGAAAGCATCAACTCTATATCCAAATATGAAAAGCAGCAAAAGAAGGTGTCCATCTCCTAAACAGGGGAGTGGGAGTGTAGTTGGGGTGATATGCCTATGCTTTGCCATGATCTGGAAAGGGGAAATGCTGGGTGACATCTATATTCAGCCTTGGAAAGTTCTGGACAGACATGGCCTCTCAAGCTTCTCTTCCATATTCATTTATTGGCTCTCCTTAATTTTATTCCCCATTATTAAAGTAGGAATGACTAGGCTGGCAGGAAGAAGGCCGGCATCCCACTTCTGGAGGGCACTGCAGACTGACGATGACTTTGCAGGCCTGGATCTGAACCTCCTCCTCAGGGTGGATAACCAAGGCAAGCAGCCGGTCTGCCAGTCGTGACTCATCCCCAAAGAGAGCTTCATGCAGAGACTGTTCATTGTAATGCCATTTCACAGCTCGGTAATGAGGTGAATTCCGGCCCTCACTCAGCCGCTCAGCAAACACCAGTACCTCGAACAGCAAACTCCCTGACTGTGTCGCCTGGAACAGGTTCAGGAAGTTGTCGTGCACCTGTGATGGGAAGGGAGTAAGGGTGGGAGAAATCCAAGTTTAAAGTTCTTCTTCCATCTTTTTTTTTTAAAAAGATTATTTTTGCATACATAACTGGAGTACAGGCCAGAGGCGCAGGGGCAGTGAGAGGCTTCACCAGAGACAGAGTGGGGAGCAGAACAGGCCGACTAATGAAGTACACTGCTGAAGGGAGCGGCGGGCAGGTCAGGAGAGGTCTTCCATGCCATGTGGGTCACTTCCAGGGTGGGGATTGAACTCATGCTGAAGTGGCTTTAGCTTCTTAGAGCTGTGTTTTAACCTGCTGTGCCACCAGGGAGGGCCTCTTCTTCCATCTTTTAATTGCATCAATTCCCCAATCAATCCAAGTTTGAGGTTCAACTATCTAGGAAATGTGCAGTTTTATTGTCACTGTGGTTCTCTAACATAATGCACTGTGATCACAGGCATTAGTGATATGATTACAATATTGATTCTAAGAAGTTTATTGAGACCAACTGTAAGAGCTAATATGTGACTAATTTTTGTAAATATTTTGTATGCTTGAGATAGTTGTGAAATGTTTGAGGTATGTCTAGAGGTTCAGGCTCATTTGTTATTTATAGCTAATGCTCCCTGTCAAGTTTTATCATTCCTTGCTGAAAGGGTACATGAAATCTTGCAAGCTTTCCACTGTGGTGGTAGATATATCTATTTTTTATTCATTCGTGAGAAAAAGGGAAATTTGGCCACTTGGGATCACATTAACAGACTTTGAAGGCATTATGCTAAGGGAAATAAGAAAGACAGAGGATGACAAACATTGTAGGTATCAGTTACATGTGAACTCTTAAAAAAAAAGTCAAACTCATAGAAAGAGCACCAAAAAGTTGGCGGAGGCTGCAGTACGGGGTGGGAAATCGAGAAGCTAGTGAAAGGATGCAGATGTTCAGATATAAGGTGACCAGTGTGAAATTTGAGGATGTAATGTAAAACATGGTGACTATGGTTGATAACAATGTGTTATATAATTAAAATTTACCAAGAGAGTAGGGCTTAAATGTTCTCATAAAAATAGGAAATATGTGGGCCCTCCCTGGTAACGCAATGGGTTAAAGCACAGACCATGAAGCTATCAAAGCCACTGCAGCACAAGTTCGATCCCCGGGCAGAGAAATGACCCACATGGAGTGACAGACCTCTCCTGACCCACCCGCTGCTCCCCTCAGCAGTGTGTTCACTGTATGCATAAATAAATAAATCTTTAAAAAAAAATAAAAAGGACAATGAGATACCACCTCACCCCACTGAGAATGGCACATCTTCAAACAACTAGCAACAACAAATGTTGGCAAGGATGTGGAGAAAAAGGAACTCTCCCACACTGCTGGTAGGAATGCAAACTAGTACAACCACTATGGAAAATTGTTTGGAGGTTCCTCAAACTGCTAAACATGGAGCTTCCCTACAACCCAGCAATTCCACTAGGAATCTACCCAAAAGACACAAAAACACTGATTCAAAAGATACCTGCACCCCCTTGTTTATTGCTGCTTTATTCACAATTGGAAAGACATGGAAGCAGTCCAAATGCCCAAAAGTAGGTGACTGGATTAAAAAGATGTGGTACATATA